CGTATGATCGAGTAGAATGGGAGTTTCTTTTCCAGGTTATGCAATCGATTGGATTCTGTGATAAGTGGATGCTATGGATCATAGCCTGTGTATCAACGGTTCGTTTTTCAGTTCTACTCAATGGAGCTCAGTATGGTTACTTTCAAACTCAGAGGGGGATTCGCCAAGGGGATCCGTTATCACCACTGTTGTTCTCCATTTACACGGAAGCCTTTTCTGCCAAGATCAGCCGAGAGATCGCCTCCTCCTCCCTTCATGAGTTAAGAGTTCACAGGTCAGCTCCTCCCCTCTCACATTTGTTTTTCGCCGATGATTCTTACCTGTTTCTCAGAGCTTCTATTCCTGAATGTGCGAACTTGATGCAATTACTTTCTGATTATGAGATGTATAGTGGTCAACGGGTTAATCTGCATAAATCAGCTATGTGTGTTAGTGGCAATGTCTCAGATCAGGAATTCCATGCAATTAGCTCCTTTTTAGGGGTGGGAATTATGCAGCCTGATGACATGTATTTGGGACTTCCTTCTCAAATCCGCCGCTCTAAATCCCTATCTTTCCAATTCATTGAGGAAGATTTGGCGGCTCGAATTAGTAGTTGGAAGGCAAAGGCCTTATCTTTGGCGGCGAAGGAGGTTATTATCAAGGCGATTGGGGTTGTTGGTCCAATTTATGCCATGTCAGCTTTCCGGCTGCCTCAGGAAACCTGTCGTAGATGCAATGGCCAGCTGTCAAAGTACTGGTGGGATGGCCAGGATAAGGAGAAAGGCATACATTGGATTTCTTGGAGTGCAATCTGTCAAAGCAAGTTTACAAGTGGCCTTGGATTTCGGGACTTTAACAGGTTTAACATTGCGCTTCTAGCTAAACAAGCTTGGCGAGTATTATTCAGCCCTTCCAGTACCATCGCCCGTATCTATAAGGCTCGCTATCACCCGTTAAATGACTTTCTTGATGCTTCGGCGGGTGCTCGCCCATCCTTGGTTGGCAGGGTATTTTGGAAGGGAGGGATCTGCTCAAGCGGGGTTTGCGGTGGCAGGTCAGAGACGGGACACAAATCCGGGTTATGCAGGATAATTGGCTGCCATCATCTCCCCATCATGCCCTCAACTACGACCAGGTATACAATCCTGCCCTTCACTAGTTTCCGAGCTCATTTGCCATACATCCCATTCGTGGAAGACAGATCTCCTGAACTCTCTTTTCATGCCTGTGAGTGTGGATCTTATTCTGTCCATTCCTCTTCCTGTATCTTATACTTTAGACAGAGTGATTTGGCATTACTCTCCTTCTGGAGTTTATACTGTAAAGACAGGTTACCATCTACTGTCAAACGAGTATCGCGGTTTTGGAAACTTCTTTGGAGCTTGCCGGTGCCGCCCAAGTTGAGATTCTTCTTCTGGCGGGCTGTCCGTGGCTTCCTTCCACTTCAAACAGTCTTGTTCACCAAAACTCTGGTTCCAACCACGGAATGTCCCATCTGTTCGGCGGAACAAGAATCCTTTTCCCATTTCTTCTTTGGTTGCAGGGTGGCGCGCGGTTTATGGAGCCTGGCGAACAGAGAAGACTTATGCAGTCACCTTGGTGGAATGGCCCCTGATGATGCTTGGAATCATCTATTTTTCTCCTTGAACTTGTCTAAAACTGAAATTGCAGATGTGATCTTCATTTTATGGAGGATTTGGAAAGCTAGGTGTTGGTCTGTACATGCTCATATTCAATATTTGCCATTGCCCTTATTTCGTCAGTTTCAGAGGCAGCTAGAAGAATGGAGGGGAGCTGAACAGGTGGCGCCAACCATCCCCAGGCAAGGTCCTGTAACAGAATGTAGACAGGGCAACGGCGACCGGACAGCGGCGGGACTGCCCTCCACCGCAATCACCGTTTGGTTTGATGGTGCAGCTAAGCGGGGACGAGGTGGTAGCATTGGCTACGTTGGTTTTCAACCTACAGGTAATGTCCTATTTGCTTTTGGGAAATACTACGAAGCGTTACATGATCTTTTTGTTATGGAAAGTCTGGCTTTACGGGATGCTCTGCAATGGTGTTTGACTCATGGTTTTGTGTGTGTCCAATTTCATGGGGATTCGCAACAACTGATACGGCGTATGGTGGGGGAGGATTTTGCTCATGATCGAAGTGGTGCGGTGCTTGAAGATGCTCGGGTTCTAGCTGCCCAATTCAGTTGGATTTCGTTCTGTTTTGTTTCTCGTCAACTTAATAGGGTCGCCCATCTTGTGGCACATAAAGCCCTCTCATCGAGATTTGACTATTGGTCGACTCCCGCGCTTTACTTGACTCCTCTATTTGACTCTCTTGTTACCCCTACTTTTGGAAGAAAAAAAAATCTTTCCGAGGGGTTTTTAAGGGTTTGATAATTTTCCCGGGTATAAGTGCTCGTGCTTGACATGGGAAAATTATTTTTCGAAATTTTATGAAGGTTCAAGTTAGGTGAAAAATTCGTCCAAGATATAAATTAATTAAAAAAATGGTCGCTTTTGAAGGGATTAATTGTAGAAATTTTTAATGGGGGTTAAAGGACCCTTAGAATGAGTTCAAGGTCTGGAGTTTAAGGAGAGGAAGTTCTAGTGATTCAAAAGGGGTCTTAAATCAAGAAAGTTTGTCTAAGAAATGGATTCTTATTAATAGGGTTCCCCAACAAAATCCGGGTAGGAGGGGTTTCTTCGAGGAAGGAATTGAGGATTCATCTTTTCGAGGTGAGTGTAAAGGGGGTAAAATCTCTGTCGTAGGTCTTCTAGTTTATGCTTTTCGTTCAAGTTATTATTATGAGTTAATTTTGAGTAATGCGCGATATGTGTGTGAGGCATCCCACCGCCTGTAAGGGTGGAGGCACGCGTTGTGCTATGTATGAATGTTTGTGATGTTGTATGGATTGATGGTATGAGAACCCCCGGGCGGTTGGGCCACTGGACGCGGTAGATGGTCGGGCCACTGCTGGACGGCGGGACGTAACGCAGCAGTTGATCGAGTATGTTGGGGTCACTACTGGACGGCGAGACGTAACGCAGTAGTTGACGGGCAATGACTGGACGACGAGACGTAACGCAGTGCCATTGCCAAGTTTTTGTATGCAACCGGACGACGAGACGTAACGCGGTTGGCATACTAGGGTAGGACACCGGACGGCGAGATGTAACGCGGTGGTCCTAAGTAAAGTTTAAAGGATGAAAGTGAGAACGACTTTTGTCTAAGGAAGGCATTCCCCTAATAATGTGTTTAGTAAGGAGTTTTCCTAGGGCAAAGACCTTAGGAAGTAACGACGAGACTGACCCCTTCTCACTCATCAGGTTGAGGATAGTCTAGCAGAAGTGGATCACGAGAAGAAGCAGGGCGAGGCGACCAGCAGTACCAGCGTCGTCGGGATATCGGAAAGCTCGTGAGGATTCAAGTTAGATTAGTTAATTATTCTGTTACATGGTTATTAGTATAAACTGGAGATTCTGGTTAAGTCGTTTTAAGTGTTTGAGATTGAGAATTTTGCCCAAGAGTTGGGGCTTTTCGTTAAAAATTCTTAAATGATGTCAGTTTGTTTATCTTAAAATGTGGTTGGGTTGCTCCGGAGTAACCGGTTTTTGGGTTGAGTTATGGTTTGGTTTTTGAAAAGAGACGGGACGTGTCACAACATGTGTAGTTACTCCAAATCAAGGAGAACCTGCACAAAGACACAGTAAACTTCATTCACGTAGCTCATAAATGAAAAAAAGCAATTATGGAAGAAACAAAACAATATATAGCTCATTAAACTAATTCTGAGGTTGAATCAGAAGTTGAGAGAAATAAGTTGGGGATTGTTTCTGAAGAGAAATCAAGGAAGAAGAAGGGCCCTAATTCTGAGAAGCTTCAGATGGGGAAGGACATATATGGCGGAAATCCATCACCAAGCAAGCCCACTTCTCTGTCACAAAGTGAGAATACAAAGTGGCCAAAATGGATGATCAAGAGATTGCAGAATCTCCCTCTCCGTCTGAGCCCTAAGAAGCTTCTTCCGAGCCGGAAAACATGAATCATGCATGACCTTCATTGCAAAATACGTCAAGGTGCTGGTCAACTCGAACAGGTAAACATTACCTATGTCTAAAAACTCGAGCTTCTTCACAGCTTGCAGACCTGAATTGGAAGTTGGTAAGCCACAAAACATTTGTTAACCTCTGAAATAGCATGATTTCTGAAACCTATAACATATTAAGAAAAGAAAGTATCAATTAATTTAAATTCATGTAGCAGACAACCAACAACCATGATTGATCAAACCTTTTTCTCTCGTCCTTTCCCTCTCCCTCTCCCACATATTCAACCAAGCAAAGCCTAGCTATAACAACTACTGCAGCTTACTTACGATCACCTGCTTCCCCATACTCATGACCCTCAAACCCTTCTACCATGCACAAAAACCCACAAATCAGAAATATGATGCAAAGAATATCCCAAAAATTACAACTAACTTCCTTCATGAGTAATAGCAAAGCAACCCCAAACTGCATAGATTCTTCCTTACCATGGTACCCAATACCAGCCAAAAAATTCTAGTCGCACAGAACATGTGCTCATCCCTCTCCACACCTTCCTCGTGATACATCAGGACAGACAGTTTCCTGCAAGCAACTGAACTCGATCTTCTCCCTGACAGTCTCGATTATCTACCTATAAGCCAGTTTCCCCGTCGCATCTGCTATAGAAAATGTTTTGAGTTGTCATGCACCTATCTGAACAAAGAAAACTCAAGAGAATGATAAGAGGAAGCGACATTATTAGTACATATGGCATGTCATCCATAGCCTAAGCTTCATTAGTTTACCAAGATTGCAGAAAAAAACACAACCATATTTCCATCTCTTATAAACATAATGAATTGCAACCAGATTTGCAGAATGCAAATAAGACCACAAATCTATATAAAGATTGTTCTATGAGACTCCTCAAGAGTAAGTTATTTTATGAATCCATAAACCCAAACAAAGAAATAAAAGCATTCAAGCGGACTACAACAATTCAAGCACCTAAAAATGTGATAGGTGTAACAATAATCTAGAGAATTTCCTAAACTTGCATTGGGCAGTAGGTCCTTGGTGTCTCAATAAGCCTCTTCCGAGTGGTTGGCAGGCTTCACAATCCACAAACCTGTGCGAGAAAATAATACCAGAGCACAAGCTCATTACATAAGCCAATCTCCTTTTACGTAATAAAAGGTTGCATTACTATAACCAAAAGATCTCTTTGCACTAACTCATTGAACTTGATGATTCCAATGCTGACTAAACGAACCAAACCCACAGATAAACCCAAACATATGCATTCCATTCGTTTGTAAGGCTTCTTTTCCAATTAAAATCATTAAACCCACAACAAATGAAAGCAGCAAAAATGGAGAAGACAATTGATTCCGAAACAAACCCGGTACGTTCTTTCTCAGCCTTGCAGAGAATGTAACAAACATCAAGAAAAAATGGATATTCTCATTTTGAATCAAAGAGAACAAATAAACTGAACCACCCAGCGATTGAATTTTACCTGCACATAGACAGAGACTATGAAACTCTCATTCGATCCGCGCCCTACAAAAACAGGAAGGAAACAATGGACTCACAGGGCAATGAATCGAGATCACAATTAGAAGGCAAGAAGAGAGAAATATAGAGAGAGATGCTCACTGGCGCCACACTCGGTTCCGCGCTACACGGAAGATCGGCTCTCGCATCTTCTCCATACGGCATCTTATCACCAACTCCAGGTATGAAATTTGGTAGAAGACAAATTGGAGGGGAACCCGCAAAGGGGCTCTTTGCCACTGAGGGCCTATTGTGTTAAAACATGAAAGGGGATACGCTTTTTCAACCCAAAGACCTTAGACACTGTTTCATTTTTTGGCGTCTAGCGTCCAAATCGTGGAAAAACTCCTCCAACGCAATCTCTTCACCCGCAGCCGTACGCAGATCCCCTCAGCCTTACCCTCAATTCAGCAACCGCAGATCGTCGCAATCTCTTCACCCGCAGCCGTACGTAGATCCCCTTGGCCTTACCCTCAATTCAGCAACCGCAGATCGCCGCACATACTCCATGGGTAGCGGTACTGTAGCCGTGCCTTACCTAGGCTCAGTTTCCATCAAAACCTCTCGCCGTTCACCTCGGCCTGGTCCTCAATCCAGCAAGCGCCGTACCGTTCCTCGCTCAGTTTCACAGCAACCGCAAGTCACCACCCATACTCCACAGTCGGCAGTATGTGTCCGTACCGTACCTACGCTCAGTTTCACCGAGAACACGCATTCCCCGGTCATGTCTATCTCTTCCCCGTTCTATTCTACTGTCCCCAATTTTCCCACTCCCTTGACCCCTTCTCGCGTGCTCGCTCACGCAACCGCCCATACTTTCAGCACCGTGTGGTTTACTTCACTCTCTGTAGAGAAGATTGCTCTCTTCTTGCTCAAATCCTCCTCTTCTGTTCCAACTCTCATTCTATTCTTTTGCTTCCTCTTTCTCCCCGTCACCACTGCAGTCGTCCGTCGACAGAGGAAGTACTGCACACTCTGGTAGTGATTTGCATTGCCCTTTTGATGCTTAGAAGTGTGTTGTTGGATTTGTCGATTTCTAGATGTGAAGTGCTGAAATCCAAGATTAATTTAGGCCCAGAACATCGGAGTTTTGTCTAGGAAAAAGTTCATTTTGATGTTACTAGCCCTGTAGGAGAGGAGAGGAGAGGTGAAAAAGAAGAATGGAGAAGAGCTTCTTTTTAAAGTTCATCTTGATGTTATCCCTATAGGAGAGGAGAGGTGAAGAAGGTGATCTCATGCTAATTCATCTGAATATTTTATTCCAACAATAACTTGCACCAATTTGCTTGCCCCATGTGCTCTGGATGACAAGTAGTAGTTTTTATTATTTTTTCAGACTAACGAAGAAAAGTTTGGTTCTCTGATGCAGAAAACGGAAGCAGGAGAAGGAATGAATTTGCACCTCTCAACTTCTGGCCTTCTAGGAGTTCCAGCAAGATCTAATTTTAGTAGATACGAGGCTAGAGTTAGATTGAATGACTGCAGTTTAGCTGTCCCATTTCATACTTGCCTGAAAGGCTGACATTTTTCAAGTTCCGAGCTAGGAAAGAAGATGATAAAAGCAGCAAGGTCGAGGAAGATAAGAGCACTGCAGGTGGCAATTCCGCTGCTTCCTTCGAATTGTGTTTTGAGTTTGTTAATTCTCAACTCTTAACACTGCATTTGACAGATTTGGAGCAAGCTAAGAAGAAGCAAAGAGGGTCAATAAGGGAGGGTCAAAACATTATTTGGCATTTCTTTGAGCTGTGGTGAGTTCAGTCAATTGCTTATACTTTGTTGAAATGCATTAATATTCTGAATTCTGGGTTCATTTGGAGACTGCACGAAGCTTTGGTGAGACTTGAGAACATGCCACATAATTTAAACCTCTTACACAGTTTGGCTTTTTACCACTTTGGGTGATTTGATGCTAGATTCTTTCTTCTTTTCATACTGAACTCATTGTGCTGTCTTTGTTCCACAGTAGCCGAATCTAATTTTGCAGTTCAGCATATGGTGAACAATGCCATCGTAGAAGAGGTGCCATTCAGTTTCTTCCATTAATATTTCAGGTCAATGGTCAAATTAGAGGTAATCCTTTTCATTTTTAGCAATTGTTATGATGAATTTCACTACTCAAACCTGAATTCCAACCTTATTATGTAGCTTTTTGGTGTTGGTGCATCTCATAAATCTCACGAACTCTGCTAGGTTTTCTGGAAGCTAGATAGAGTGAATGTCCTGGCTTCCTATCTTACTCCGCTACAGGCTCTTCTATGTATATTTTTGCTACTTTTGTCAATGGAATCGTTCCTCTACTGAACAACACATTGCGAGCCTTATGCAAGTGCTTTGAAAGAGAAACTTAATATTACTCAGTGAGTTGTGGAGCAAATTTTTGTTGTTCAAATTGTCATGGCGGGTCTCTCTCTCTCTCTTTCCATGATCATTTCATCAATTTCGAGTTTGCCATTTTGGTCATTTGTTTTCATTGTTTGCTTGATGCAAATTTACCTAATTGTTTGCTTGATAATGTTGCTTGTTGTTTGAATTCTATGGTTGTAGAGAAAATTGTCTTTTCTTCTTTTGTACTATCACTTCACCGTCAGTTACTTTTGGGGATAGGATGTAAGTGATGTAACCTTGAAACTTAACAAACCTGCTCAATTTGCAGATTCTCTGCGTATATTACCAGGTATCCATTATGCAAGTCCAAGGGAACAACATAACTCATGAGCCCTTTCATGGTGACCAATCACGCCAGTCAGTCCCAACATATCCTCGGCTTTAAAATGAGAGCCAACTCCAAATGCAGCCAAAAACAAGAAGAAAGCTATGATATTCATTGAACAATGAGCCTCCAGTCTTAAATTCCCTCTACAAGCAACAACCAGTTTAATTGCTGTTGCATTCACCTCAGGACTCACATTTGGAGGGACTCCCATCAACTGCCCCAGCATAACAACTCGATTCCTGACCACAGTTTGGCCATACCTCTTACCACCAATCTGAGAAGTGAGAAGTTTGGTGTTTTAACTGGTCAAATGTCATCTTTGCTGGGACTGATGCCCGAAGTGCAGTAGAGACTGGATTTGGAGGATTGCTTTCACAGGACTTTACCCTAAAGTAAACACCAGCAATGTGTGTCAGACCACTTGAGGAACACTTGAATAGAAGGGAACCATAAGAATGAAGACTGATGATCATCTAATATAAGAAGGCCAATGAAACATATAAAGGGTGGAGCTTACCATATATAATATCCACGGACCACGGTTCCAGCTTGCTTTTGGTTTCTCTGCTCTTCTAACAAGCTGACCTTTGTTTCGGAAACTATGTATGTTTGTTATTCCTGGCAAAATTGGGCTTGCTCACCCGACATGTAATGGATCACCGAACAAACTTGAGAATAATAGCAGGTGTAGGTGCAACTAAAATTCTCAGCAGGCTTAGAATAGAATGATTGAACTTTGCAGTTGATGTGATCCACTTGAATCATACTTTACAGGTGACGAATATTTTATTTGTAATTTCAAAACTTTTGAACAAAAAAATTATACTTGCTTTCTAGATTCAATTAGAATTTCTAACTATTTGTCATTTCTTGAAAAAATGCTTACATTCTTCTGTGAGTCCTACTTCTGGTAGGTAACAGACCTTTCAATTGCGATTATCATCCCTAATCATAAAGAGTTTGTTTTTGTGCGGGTTTATCAAGTAATTCTGCTTTCTACCCAAATGTGGCTCCACATGGAAGTAAGAACACTGCTTCTCGATCTCAACCAAGTAAATAAGGAGAAGAACCCATGGAGAATTATTGCTGAATGGTTTTATGAACGATACGTCGTGTTTGTAGTTACCGTTCACAGTCTCCACCTCATACTAATAGGAACATGGAACTGAACATACATAACTCTCCAGCCCATTGCCTAGGAGAAAGATACAACCGCCCCCATTCTATCATCACCGTCAATCCATTTATTACGACACGACAACTTAAGTCCCTGCGGCGTAGCCGCGGGTATTGATTCTAGTATATATGAAAGAACAGAACTGTACAGCTAGCTATCAGTTCTAATTATAGAGTTACAATGGTAAACAAAACGGATTAATTGAAGTGATCTATGCTAAGCCAACACGTGGTGTTGTACAGTATAAATGGAAGAGTGTCTTGGCGCCTAACTGCAACGTCGTCGTCCTTGTCTCTGCCTCTCGATCACTGCACAGCTGAATGACGTCGTATCAGTGGGTCCAAGGAACCAAGACCGGTTCATCCCTTCAATCAACTCTGGTTCGATTACTCTGTTATGCCCTCTCAAGCTGAGCATACAGGTTCTATATGTTCAGCTTGGATAATAAGAATTGTAAACGAAACCTGCTCAAACCCTTTGTAAAAAGATCTGCAATTTGGTTCTCTGTATCCAGATGGTGAAGGGAAATGAGCTTGGACTGAAGGTATTGACGAACCACGTGACAATCGATCTCTATGTGTTTCGTCCTCTCGTGAAACACAGGATTTTCAGCAATGTATAGAGCTGATCGATTGTCACAATAGACTTCTACTGGGGTGAGAATGATGTACATTGAGTTCTTGTAGAAGTCTCTTTACCCAAACAATTTCACAGGTAAGCTGAGCTAGGGCCCGATACGAGATGGTGGTCATGTAGTTTCCGTAGCTTCCGCCTCCACTACCTACTTCATAGTAGGATTTGTCGTAGAGCGCGCACATGTATTTGCGGTGGTAGTGGCGAAGTCATTTGAGGTCAAGGTGGGGTCATTTGCGCCACCTTGACAAATAAAATATAGAGTAAACTTATTTATGTGATTGTAGATTGAATACAAGATCGTCATGTCATTGTAGATAATTTTATGAAAAGTAATATTTTGTGATCTTTATTCAACTTTTAATTCATATATTATGCAAGTGAGTTTAATATAAACAAAAACTACTAACTTAGGGACGTTTGAGTCTATCGTTGCCATTGCAATTATTGAAAGAGCACTGACTGCAATAAGCAAAGTAAAGAAACACTTTAAAATAAGATAAATTGTGGAATCATGAATGATTTTTCGATGTGGTATCTTAACATCCTTCACAATTTGCATGTTGAATGTATTTTAGAAAATTTTCAGAACATAAACACATCTTGAAACTTAGGTTATTTGTATTTTTCTTTTTCTTCATACTGGAGTATGAGGGAGGAGTCTGGATGTTCTTTGAGATTTTCCTTCATACTATGATTTTTGTGGAAATTAAGATA